GGAGCAGGAGGAGTCGCGGAGCACTCACTCTTCCTCCCTGGACCTGCTCACAACTGCAGGCAGCAAAATACCACTTGTCCAACTAACAAAAAGCCGAATTTTCAAAAATGCCAGGGCAAATCCAGCAGACTTGGTCAGACCTCCTTTAGCAACCGCCAACATTTGTTCTCCCTGCTATTTCTCCTATATCTGGGCCCCCTGGCATCAATCTGAAAGTGATGTACATGCCCACAATTTTTCCTTATGAGGGGAAGGCCAGACCTGCCAGTCTGACACACTAGTATCTGTTCTGTTCAGAAATCAAGAGTAAATCCCAGGATTCATGTCTCAGATGAAATGTTGAGTTCCACCCCATTTTTCCTTCCTTGCTTCCTCCCTCCCTCTCTCCCTTCCTTCCTTCCCTCCCAGCTATTTAACATCAATATGTGTGACACACTTAGCATTAACACTTAGTAATTCACACCACTTGATAGCTCTACTCTTGCCACCAGTTTTAATCCATTTTATGCTCAATCCTATTGCACTCAGTGCAATCAAAAGCATCAACCAAATTGCTTTGAAACTTTTTTTACTCTTTATTTATAGATCTCACTTTGCAAACTACTGTATAATTTTGTTTTTCTTCCTTTTTCTGCTTTTACAGATATTCCATTTTCTTCTGATACTGCCTTGTATTACTTGTATCAGAGAAGCCATCTCTGATTTTAAGATTTACTTATTTGGCTTATCAACATCTCAACAGCCCTATCCTCCCCATCCACACGAGAATTTTCTTCTGCTAAAGCTATTTCTGTAAAAAATATCACTTCCAAGGCAACTAGATCAAGAAACAACTGGCATTTCCTCTTTCAACTTCCTCCGCTCCCTTGGGTTCTTGACAAAAAGCAGAGTGCTGGGGATGACCTCTCAAAACAGAACTCAATCTCCAGCTTCCCAAAGTACCTACATTTGTCAAGTACATAGAGTTGGCCACAGACACACCGGTGATCAGAAGGATTCTACCTTCAAGAGCCAGAGGCAAAAACTTATTTATAGACTTTACACGATCGTCTAAGTGTAACTATACCTCCAATATTGACCTGTAGGGGAAATACTACACAAAGTGTCCAGTGACGGAATAGGATGACTTTTTCTTCTCGTAGGAATGTCACACAGAAGATTTGCAGTCAATAATTTAACTAATTGAATCAAATTCATTGACAATACCATAACGATGCTGTTTTTCTCTTATGTCAAAGACCAGAAGAAAATCTATCCCGAGCTAATAGAGAACAAAACTCAAACATCTCATTTTAAAATCTACTTCTTATTTTTGCTTCCCCTGACCGATCTTTTCTCTTGGGGAGATTTCACCTTACATTCACCTTCTCAACCAGATACATATAATTACTTAAAGACATAAGGTACTTTAACTGCTATATTCACAGATCATACTGTACTCAAGAAACAGTGAAAAGAGGATCAGATAAAAAACACTGCCCAGGTATAAAAAAGATTTTGACTGAAATGGTGTGACATGAGGTCATACATCATCAGGACTTAAGAAGGGGCAAACTCTGATGATAGCAACTTTCAGAAACATAGATACTGATGGACATGTGGCAAAGGACAAAACAAGGGTCCAAGTGAAAATAGTTTTCTTTTTTTTTTGTATGAACCGCTTGTTTTCAATATTTGTGTTTTATTAGTTGCCACAAGTGACACATTCCCTGAGCACATTTCTTTCTCCCCTCCAAAAGCCTATTTATCTACAAAAGCAGCCTGCTCCTGTGACTTCTGCATAACAGCTAATTAGAAAAGCAATAGCTTGCACATGGAGTCTAATTTCAGCTGTGTCTAAAAACACTTCAGGAATGGCAGTTACGAGCACCTCCACATTTCTGCTTCCTCGTGGTGCATGCTAAAGAAGCCTCTCCAGCAGGGAGAATATACTATTTTAGCACATCTGTGTCCAGTCATAACCTTTCTTCATAACCCTCTATGTACCATCGTTACCAAGACAAGCAGTTACAAATACAAATTCCCATTTCTTTAAGGAAATTACCATCCCGACCTCCATGAAGTCAATGTTCCAAGACCAAAGACAATTACTGGGTAAAGGAGATGTTGTGTGACAAGGGCTAAATAGCAAAGACAACCCAAGATAGACACATGCAAGGGACTTTCCTAGATAATCCATGAACCAAACAGTACCTTCTTCCTGGCTTCAAGGATATTGTTTTGATCCTAAACATGTAAAGGAGAAGAGGGAGGAAAAAAAAAAAAAAAAAAAAAAAAAAAGCTAAGTTTTGTTTCCTGGCATTTTCCATATAGCATTATTTGCTTCAATAGAAACTACATGCAATCAATTCAGCTCACAGAAACTGTAAACTGTCTAATAAAAACAGGGAAATTTAAGAGCTAATATTTACCATGGAAGATCCTCATAAAGCAAGTGTTTATATCTTCCTTCATTTTTGAAGTGAGAGGAATGTTTAGAAGTTATTTCCTATATTCTCACCCTTCTCCCTCAATATTTTCAAGTATCATCTCTCTTAAATAAACAGCAGCTTCAGACAATAAATCAAATCCCTGCATTAACTAGGAAAATCCACAACCAACCAGTTTTCTTTCACAGTGGTCTCTATGGCACCTCAAGGTTCCTGTTGCTGCTTATATGAGTCCTAATGGTCATACAGGTTTTCCCCTAATACACTATATAGGGATCAGATATTCAGTCTCTATGGTGCAGTCAGCAAAATGCAGCTGGCGAAACAAAGCCAGGAGCAAGGAGAGCTACACCTTGAAAGGAACTGCTTAATTGATTCCCAAAAGTAAATCACACAAATGGGTAAGAAAAAAAAAAAAAAAGGTCACCAAAAATGAAAAACAGGCAGGACACAGTTCTCGTTAAAGGTTAAAAAAAAAAAATCTGGATGATAAAGACATTTACATTTTTCAAAGAGCACAGTGGCTTGGTATTAAAGTCTAATTTATCCCCCACTGCAAGAAGCAAATCCAAAAGGCTAGTGCTTGCCTAAACCCATGAAAGGGTATTCATTTACCAGGCACAGATACCAGGAGCAGCAGCAGAGGGGCCTTTTCTCGCTGTTAGTGTTTGCAGGTACCTTGCTGCAGTGAACGCTGCTTTGAATGCAAATTACCTCGGCTCTCGACAAGCCCCACTGCAATGTCTGAGGCTGCCAATATAAAGGACAAGGGCAGAAGACCACGTATTTGGGAAAAGGGATGGAAGGGAAACGGTCAGGAAAGGCTGCAACTTGCCTTGAAAGGAGCAGCATGAAGGAATCTCTGCAAGGTTTGATGTTTTCCCAAAGGGTTAACCTCATCTCCCTGGGCAGTGAGGGAGGGCAGAAGGAAGCGATTCATTGATGGCTACGAAAGCAGGTTACTGAGCCTGTGTGTCCAGTGCGGAGCTAACCCAGGGAGCAGTCGGAGGGCCCGGACTCCTGGCAGGGCTCAGGAGGAAGGAGGGGAAGGTGCTGCTGCCCTCCTGCCTGCTCAGCACGCACACTCATTTGGAGTTAAAGAGCACGCCTGTATCGGGATAAAGGATCTGCACATGTGGACAGGGCTCGAGTTGGTATTAACACTGAATTGTAACTTAACAGCAGGAAAAGCAAGTCCCCATCACTGATTCCATTCATTAAACTGATTAATCCTGCTGCTCCACTGAAATCTCTTCTCTAAATTGTCCCCTGCTCTGATGTTTTCCAGCCATTTCAAAGCATCCCTAAAGACTGAAGTACTCTTTTGTCCAAGCCTCCAAGGCAATGTCAGCTTGTAACAAGCGGTTATTTCCACGTGTTCCTGTCGGTAGCTAAACACAGCATGCTTTTTCAGTCCTAAGAATTTACAGAATGTGACTGCAATTTTGCACATGAAAATGACTGATGATTTGGACTACAATACGTTTAACAGCAGAAATATTGTTCCATTAAGAGGCACACTTCTGTTTTCCACTACACAACAAATATTGATACTGTACCTCATTTCTCCAGTGGCCCGTTTCAGTATCAGAAGTGTATGACAAGCAGCACAAGCCTGAGCCCTCCCGGGCTGCCAGGCATCCCTCAGCGACCTTCTGTTGTATCTGGCAGCACAGACAAAACCTGCTGTAATCCCTAGTTCAACAGGCTGCTGTCAAATGTTGTGAAGGAACTACTGAATGAACAGAAATTACAGTAGGTCTTATTAAGTTTTCTCTGAAGTGACACACAAAGTACTAGTCTAAGAAGAATTCTGATATACTTGCCATGTACAAAATCCAGAACTTTTTTCTAATTTAGTGTTTAAAGAAATGTCAATATGCTCAATAAATTCTGGTTTCTTCAGTCACTTGCCAGATACAGATCTGAGACCACCACAAGAGTTGCTGTGTCCTCAAACAGTAATGTAAATAACCACATTTCCCAACACATTTCAGATGTACAGGCTATGTTAATGCCCTTTTTCTTCCCCCAGAAGTAAATTCAAACAGGTCAAAGGCATACTCCGCCCTTAGAAGTCTGAGTTAGCATTTTATTAGCCAAAAACGGAAACATAAACCACCTGGAAAAATAGTATTTTTCTTTTTTTTTTTTTTTTAACCTGAAAGGAGAAACAGCACACCCAAGCTTGCACCTGGGGATTTAGTTAACGCTTGCAGAATCGAGGCAGCCTGAATCATAAATCACTTCTTATCAGCAGCAGAAGCCAGTGCTGACTACAGCGGGAAGGGAGCAAAGCTGTGAAGTTTTCTTCATACCATGGATGCAGAAGTACATGTCACAGCAGCCACCACTCCCAGAAGGAGCAGGTGGGCAGCTAGAGCCCTACTATGAGCGCTTGTACACACACAAGGTTCCTTTTCTTTGAGAAAAGGATTTTCTGTGAGAAAAGGATAATGAATGGGAGACGAGAAAAAGTGCCTACAAGCGAAAAGCCAGAATCTCTCTCTTTTATTTATTTTATGACAACTCTTGACTTCATTTCTTCCTGAATGTGAGTTTCTTGACTTCACGAGTTTCTTGTATTACAATCCTCTTTAGGAACCAGCACACAAAGTGCACAGTGAAGGCGGCTACTGCAGGACAGAGCCATGTGATGAGCAGCACGTTGCTCCTGCCATGGTCCCTGTTATCTTCTGGCTACGAGAAAGCACAGCAAGTTCACAGCAAGTGAACGCTCACATGCAAAAGCGCTGCTTATTAATACTAATTTCCCTGGGGGGTTGGTGCATGCATTTTACATGGATGGGCATGAAGCTACTACCCAGAATGACTGCAGAAACCTAATGAGAGGAAAGCAGGAACATAGGGTCCCGGTTCCAAGCGCTGCTCTGGCAGGCAGGGATGACATGTTAAGCCCACCTACTATAAGAACAGCTGTATATTCCTCTTTCCAGCTGTATATATGAATGTGAAGCCTTCAGGGAGGGAAAAAAAAAACCCAAAACACATTAATAAAGGATTGTGGATGCAGGCACAGAACCAAAGGCACTCTACATGTTAACACTGAAATGAAGCATGGTGTAGACAGCATCACACGGACGTGCACCTATTTGTGCGTACCCAGCTTTAAATTAAGCCTCCTGCTAGGAAATTCACAAAGAGACAATCCCAGAGCACGTTTGGCATGGACTAATTGCCAGCAACATAACAAGAGCACCTCAGAGATTGCAGGCTTTATCTCTACCGTTTTCTCCTTCCCCAGTCACTAAGCCAAGCTGCTGCGATGGCACAACCATGAGCGTGACACGTCCTCCTTGCTGGAGCTTTCACTGCTCTCATGACACAGAATCGTGCTGGGGAGGGGGTATCAACATATGTATCGTCAATATACATTGTGTATATGTTGTGTATACGTGGGCGTGCAGGGAGCTAACCCGCTCAGCAGCAGCCACTCTCTGCAACTCCAGGGCACCAAAGCGAGCCTGGAATTTGTGCAGTTTATTGCTCAGGGCAGCCACGGCAGCGAACGCAACCGGTCTGACCGGGCCGCGCCGTTTCGCGCGCGGCTCCCCTCATGGCAGCCCGCCATGACCCGCCACGACCTGTCACGACCCGTCGCGACCTGTCACGACCCGTCACACCGGTCCCGCACCCGGGCCCGGGCCGCGGGGCGCAGGGGCGGCTGCCGCAGCGGGCAGGCTGCCCCGCCGCGCGCTGCGGAGCCGCTGGAGCGCGGTGGGAAGCTCGCGGGCAGCCGGTTTCGGGGCAGCGCCTCCCGCCCGGCCGGCTGCTCCATGGGGCGCACGGGGCTCGACGGCCCCGGGCGCGCAGGTGCCACGGCGGGCGCCGGGGAGGACGGCGTGTGCCCAGCCATGCCCGGCGCCCTGCGGAAAAAGGAGCCCGGCTGCTTCCCAGTTTCCCACTGGGAAAAGCGGGAAAGGCCTGGAGAAAGCCCCCCCGCGGCCGCGCCGTTACCTGCGGGGCTGGGCGGCGGGGGCCAGGGCCGCGCCGCTCGGCGGGCCGGGCCGGGCAGGCCGGGGTTGGACTTCCTGCGGATGGCCGCCCGCCTGCACGGGATGCCCTCGGCGCCGCTCATGCTCCGCGCCGCCGCCACGAGGGCGCCTCCGCGCTCGGCCCGGCGCGGCTCCCGCTGCCGCTGCGGCCGCCTCGGGCTCGGGCGGCCCCTCACCTGCCCGCCCGGCCCGGCCCGGCCCGGCCCCGGCCCGCCCCTTCCTCCCCCGGCGGCGCCTCCCCGGGACCGGGACCGGTCGCCACGGAGGGAGGGCGGGAAGGAGGGAGCGGCTGGCGCTGCCGGCGCTGCAGCTCCTGGCCCCGCTCCCGGCCGGCTTCCCCCTTCCCCGAGCGTCTGTTTGCCCGTGCCAAGGGAACTGGTGGAAGTGGCCCTAAGGGAAGCTCGCAGAGGCATCCCTATGCTGGGACGTGCGCACGTGTTGGCCGAGGAGGGCGGCAGGGAGGCTTGTGCCGCACAGCTTCTGAAGGCACCTGCCTACCTGGTGTGTGGGGCAGGGTGTCAGCCGTGTGGCACACTGAGAGCGGACGGGAGCGTTCAAGTGTGTGAGGAAGCCGAAGTGGCCAAGCACAGCAGCCCTGGGTGAAGGACACACTGCAGGGACAGGACAGGACTCGGGAACTGTCACTCTGCTCTTAGATCCTGTCACAGGTGGCAAGGGAAACCTCTGATGTGACCTGTGCCCACTGACCCAAGCCATTCTTATTCGCTCACATCTTCACTAGCTGGGGCTTAAGGATGGACCAGGCAGGCTGCCGACTTTGCAGCTCTTTGGTTGCGTTGCAGCTTCCATCAATGTACACAGAGCCCTGCATGGGCTTCAGCCACAGTCACGCAGTGGGGCATCACTTTCCCACCCCAAGGGTTGGTCAGGTGGTAATTTGGCTATTGTTTTTTGGGATATTGTTCTTTTCCAGGAGAAGGTCAAAGTCTTACTGATCCCATTTCATTTCATGTCCCATTAAAAATGAAGCACTCACGTCCTTTATTTTGTGTTCTTTCAAACAGTAACAGTTACTTCTGCAAGCTAATAAAAAGGCTGTGACTCAGAGATAAAATACACATATATTTATTTCCCGACTGCTGTTAGCTGACTGATCTGACTTGGCTTGTGAAGATGAATATCCTTACGTTATGAAGAGCACGAGTACCTGCTGACTGTATTGCAACAGGACAGTCACAAGTCCTTGTAAGCTCAGCTTGCAAACAGTTAATGGGTGTGCTCGAAGGTTAGCTCGCAGAGCACGTACAATCATTAACCTGTTCAGATAAAGATCTTCTTCCAGATCACTGGTGTGTATTTAAATCTTCACCTGAACTCGTTCTGGTTCTTGTTTGAAGACCTGACAGTACTATATTGTCTTAAGTATTACTGATTTAAATGTGGAAAGAGCAAGATAGGCAGGGAATGTTTTATTAATTCCCAAGTACTTTACCAAAGAGACAAGTATTAGTCTCATCTGACAGAGAAGGAAAATGAGGAATTAGAGAGAGAGGAGAGCTTCACTCAAAGTTTGCTCCAGATGCCTGACAACCAGTGAAAGAATACAAAATATTAAACTTAATAAAAGTAAGTTTGAAAATAGAGGACCCGTCTCTCTTATGTATAATAACTTAAATGAGATCAAACCAACTAGAAAGCTTATTTGCTCAACCACAAATCCTCAGCTGGGCCTATTTATCACTTATTTTTAAACTTTGTACTTGCTTCTTTAAACTTGGAGTTCTGTTCCTGGAGATAAAACAAGAAAGCAAGGACAGTGCATTTATCCCACGGATTCTAACCAAGCAAAAGGGCTATGCACTATGTTAATGTTGTTTTCTATGGCACGATGATTTTCAGTCAATAATAATGTATTACAATGCGATTCTGAAAAATAGATGTCACCTTAGAAAAGAGAATTGCAACGTCTCTGCTGTGGCATCAGGAGACTAGCACAGAAAAGCTCATTTCCTTGAGAAAAATCCTTCCGAAGCGTGTTGATGTATTTAAAGCAGTGAGGACATTCTGCAGCAGAAAGTCAGGCAGTCGATGAATTTATGGAAATGTCATTGCATTGGCACACGTCAGTGCGGAGCAGGCTCCTCAGCGCAGCTGTTTGTCCCGCTCCCTTTGAGGCAGGTACAGGGCAGAGCTGGGCTCTGAGCGCTCTAAGCCGGCTCTGAGCGGCCGCCTAGCGCAGTCACAGCCTCCCCTCCCGCGTCGCCCTTCCTCCGTTCTCATGCGCAGCAGCAACGAGCCCACGGTCAAGGGGGCCCATCTGGCTCGAAGGCTTCTCGTGGGGCTGGTGGGAAGGGCAGCAGTGGAGCCCCCCTTCAATCATACCCGTCTGTGTGCCGCGGGAGCGGCGGGAACCCCATGGGGACAGGCAGGGGTGCAGAAGAAAGTCAAGGGCAGCCAGCAAGGTATGGCCCCAAGAAGAAACTGAAACCGCATCTCTAGCAAGGGACAGCCTGGAAGCCGCTCGTCTCATCTCGTGCTCTTGGATCCCCAGAGCGTTCAGGGAAGCAAGGCTTTATCATCAAGCTTTGTTTACTCCGTTACTCATAAGAAAACAAGTGTTTCACTTTGTGTGTAAAACAGATCGTTCCCTCTATAAATTTCTTTGTATTAACCATCACTTCTCCTAATGGCAACAATCTTTAGAAGCCTTGAGTTTGACTAACTGCTTGAGTAAGATGGTTTCCGTTGCTGTCTTTGGTCAAGCTTTAGTTCTGCTGGGGCTTGACTTTACTTTTAGATTCAATTCATAGGCTCAAGCTTTGGTGTCCTGGATTGCTTTGCTGCGCTGTACCCCACAATAAACTTGGATGAGGCAACTTTTTGTATCTTTTTAGAGAATTAATCTACAAGACCCTGAGAAAGAACATACATGAAACATGATCATGCCCAGCACAAAAGCAAGTATAATGTTTCAAAGATTCAGAGTAGCTTATTGAGAGCTGATTTGGACAGTACCTTCATTGAGGCCCAATGGAAAAATGACATTCTCTGTTGGATACAAAGCTTCACATAAAGTCTAAAATAAAAATGCAATTTACCATATACAAAACCCATACGTAACTACATAGCCGGCCACATCCTGCTTAAGTTAGGGTACATCATACTTTTTGAATCTTCTATGAACAGAATACCATGTAACCCACACACTGCTTCCGCCAGCAGGGAAGTATAATGAAGAAGAAGACATCATATATCAAAAGAAAAAGTAGGATACTAATTAGAGAAGAATCTCTCTCATCTCAGGCACCCATGCACATTCCAGATGCAAAGTCTCTCCGATGGCAGCCTCAGTACAATGCACAAAGCAACTGCAGTGTGTGCAACAGAGATACACAGAGCAAGCAAGCAAAGGCAAGAGAGAGAGATTTAACCTCAGTTTAATCAGCAGGCAAACACACAATCCAGCATTCAAGGACATTATCGGAATTTCAGCCTGAGGCTGCAGACTCAGGCTTCTTAGTCTGGGGAATGGTTTACAGAGGTCACAGGGAGTCAAGACTCCTCATTCCTCACGCTTCTTCCCTGCGCAGCACCCGTGGTTATGGCAGAACAGGTCACTTCCACCAAAAAACGCACCCAACTTTTTGATACTTACTCCCCACCACAAACTGCACTGCACACATGATGCTGGGAATGGATTTACCAAGGAGCTGCAGAGTCAGTAGCATGACTTCCAAGTGGAAAATGAGAGAGAGAAAACATGATAAGCATTCCACAGGGTGGCTGGACAAATCCTAGCATTAACTTACTTACTGTTGGACTATGAATAGATGGGCAGATAGTCATCAGAAGAAAATCCACGGCTGCTACCTGTAGCCCAAGCAATAATGATTCCAACACAGATTTCCTGTTTTTTCCTTCTTCATTGTATTTGTAAGATAGAAGGCTGTCTTGTTTCAAGTTGCTCCTGTGGCCATTTTAACCCGTTTTCCGGGATAAACAGTACAGTTTGAACACTGCTCATCTCAGGTGACCCTATGTGCAGCTAGGAGGAGTGTAAGGATGAGAGGCTTGTCTGAATAAGTTGGGTACAAGCCTGCACACTGCTCAGGGCCTGTGTTTCTGTGGGGCTGTTCAGCTGGTCGTCCCTTCCAGAGCCGAGAGCTGCCGGACTCCTCCTGCTGGGAGAGCTGACAGCCACACAGAAAGCCAGGTTAAAAAGCAGTTTTGAAGCTCCCCATTTGAGATATTTTAGTCGGCCTGATCGTAGGGAAGGAGCAATCAGCTTTTAAGGTGTGCCCCCCCCCCATCCAAAATCTGCAAATCCATCCAAAATCCATCAGCTCAAGTTAAATTCACTGTTGGAAAGACTCCATTGGGCAAAGCTGCTAGTCTCACAAGTCGCTTGAGGTCTTCTTGGAAAATACATGCCCACGAGATTCTGGGAGAGCTTTCTTGGGATCACCTGGGATCAGGTGCTGGTGGGGTAGGTGTTCTGTGAGGGGCAGCCGGCAGCTCCTCACTGGCACCTCTTCTGCATCCTGCAGCATCTCCCTTTCCTCGGGGGGATCCACGTCCCCTCTGTATGACAGGAAAGCTGGCAGTGGCCCCTGGGGAAAAGATGACAGGAGCTGCTGGCTGCTCTGAGCTGTTACTCTGGTGGGGCCCAGGACACCTGGGAAGGGCTGCAGCCTGCTCAGGTGCTGCACACATTGGATATTATCTGTTCTCCCTTCATGAATGCTTAGCAAAACAGCAAAGCAAAATGTTGTGGTTCTCTCCTTAAGAAAACACCACTTAAAGTGCAACAGGATGATCAAACAGCTTGTGAAAAGAAAGGCATATTTTTTAGCCCCAGCTCTAGAACAGAATATACCAGTCTCAATATTGCTGGTAACTTATACAGTCTGCCAGCCGTTCTCCATGAACTCTGTTTCACTTCCTTACTGTAAAACCCAAGCTGTCAGGTATTTAGCGTTTCTTCTAATGAGACATATGCTGCATGCACAGGAGTTTTAGCACACTGATTAAT